AGCAGCAGCAGCAGCGCAGCAGCAGAAGAAGCAGCAGCAGCAGCAGTAGCAGTAGCAGTAGTGTTAGTAGCAGCTCAGAAACCCGCCGGAAGACTCAACCTAAATGGCTAAACTTCGTGGCCAGTTGTTTGAGAGGACTGGTGCGCTCTTCAGTTCGCAAGTGATTCACTCCGGAGCGACCGAGAGATCGCTTTGGCTGCCATCTCCCAGGCAAGTTTGAGCGGCAGAAGCTTTTAAGGTATCACTGTATGGCTTGTGGAGTCTGAGATTTCAGATTTCCGAAAAACTGCCTGCCGCATATTTCGGAGACTGAGGGAGCATGCCTCAACGCCCAACTTGTCCGAAAAGCGACATCCTCGCAGGGTTGGGGCGCCATCCTGCTCCTTGGCTGCGCTCTTCTGCTACGTCTGTGGCAGTGTTTGGTTGTTCCGGTTGTGAACGGTTTTTCTGTCGCCAGCGTGCAGCTGTCATTCGCGACAGATCGTCGTTATCATACTTCTTGTGAGTCTTCTTGTGGTAGGAGGAAGTCTATTCCCCGCCCCTCGCCCTCGTATCCACGAGGGTCGGCATGCAGCATTCTTTTGTTTTGATTGGCCGGCTTTCTGTCACGCGATGCACAATTATTCTTTAAGTGTGTCGTACAAAAGTGTCTTTCATCAACCGCCCTGGGCCCGCTCCCAGGCGAAGAGTAGTCTGAGCCCACATAGCAAGTTCAGAGCGTGGGCCGGGGGGGAGGAGCCTTGCAGGGAGTATTCGGGATGCTCAAATCCCTTGTAGTTCTAAGGGCGCCCCCACCTTGGCTATACTATAATGTAGCGCCTTATCTGTTTGGATTTGCAGGCAAAATGGCCAGAGAAGGGCTCCTCGTCAGGTTCTGATGATCACTGTCATCCTGCCTAGAGTAGCTGGACCTTTGCTTACTCTCAGGTTCGTGGATCCGTCGCTCCGTGCGGATCCCGCCTTCTTGCTGCCGCGAGCCCAGCATCCACTGGAGAGCAGGGCAACATGCGACGACCTGACTGTTGAAGCGTGTTTGGGCAAGCAACATATCACACCCAAGGGAAATAAGAGAGCTTGCATTGCCGCACAGATGTGCACGCTGTCCGAGGTCGGCGCTGAAGACGGGCCAGTGCCGTTTGGAGATAGCTGCTTGCAACTTGCGGGACAACAAGGACCTGTCACAACACATGTTTGTGTTCGAGGACTTTGGTGATCTGTAGTGTCGGCTCGATGTGGATTCGTGCTACTTGGTCCCAATGCTTTTGCCCCGTGGGGGCCCAGTCTGGTTAAAATCTACTTGCATCCTCGAGGTCAGTCTCAGAGGTCTGAGAGCTGCCATAGCTTGCTGCCGCACAACATCAGAACTGGCAACAGGAGGTCGTGATGGCGGCTGTTGAGAATCACGGTTTGCATCTCGTCCGCGCTGACTGCATGGGTTGCTCATCAGTTCGCAAGCCACTCCAGAGGGCTACCTTGGTTTGCTGCTTGCGGATTTCATCTACCGGCTCGATCGATTCCGATTTGTTACCGACTGTGCAGCGATACTCATCGTCGGCTGCATGTTCCAGATTCGGTTCCTTTTGAGGTAGCCAGGATAGTGGTGAGGAAGACTTCCTGACAAGGGCAGTTGTTTTTGGCCCAGGTCCTTGGCCGATGCCTCTCCCGCGCTGCAGGCCAGACGGGCAGAGCCGGGGAAGTTTCTGTCTTCCCACTGTGTAACATGCGAAGATCCGATGAACAATCGTGTGGGTGTCGCTGTTACTTTTTGCAGGCCGACAAGGAGGTGGTCCTCACTGCTGTTGGCCAGGCTTGGATCGGCACGCTTTGTGTGGCTTCCTGCCCAAGCCTAGAGGGCAGAAGCAGGGTTTGCGCTGGTGTGCATGTAAGTATGTAGGTATGCATTATGCATTCATTTGTTCACGTGGGTTTGGTTTATGTTGTGTAAAGGGCATGGGATACACTGCTGATGCCTCCCGGCTTCTCGAAACGCTGAACGAGCAGTCCGAAGGATTGGCGAGCCTTGCGTCATGCCTGTCGAGCATTGCGCGGGGACCGCGAGGTGGGAAAGGGAGCACAGATGCGAGTAATTACGATCATTAGAGATCCTAGAGCTCAGTACTATTTTCATTTCGCTTTGCTTGTTTCTCAGCTGTGTATGTGCATGCTGTTCCCAATTACGCCGTTCTCTCCCGACGGTTGGCATGCCTAGCTGCAACATTCCCTAGCATTACCTTGTCCAGGTCGCACGCAGGGCAGTGGGCCAGGACCCACGCGCCCTGCTCCTCACAACTGCGCAGTTGCAGGGAGACCTCAACTTCACGATGGCGGCCGTGGCGCAGTCGCTTGTCGAAAGGGCAGCCTCGCATGCCATAGGAAGCCAAGAAGACTGAAGCGAGCGAGCGCGCTGAGCTGGAGTGGCTAGACAAAGTGCGGAATCAGTGCACCGACAGCTTGTGGGGCCTTGGTCTTGCAGTCTTGCTGTAATTTTATGCCTCGTGGCAATTCCGGTAGGCACCTTCTTGGGCTCGGGCGCAGGTTCTGTTGTGAAGCCTGAAATAGTTAGGTCGGGTAGAGAGGCAACCAAGCAAAACCTGGTGGAACGCGGTATTCCGTGCCATGTATTCCGGTTCAGGTTTGCTTCTTGAGGCCTTCGGCTCGGATGGGCTTGCCAGGGCCAGGCTTTGTCCCGCTGTTCCTGCTCCGGACCTAGCCAAGCAGAGCGATCCTGTGTTTGAAAGAGGCCTGGTGTGTCTTCAACATCCAAGTGTACTTGCCCTTTGCCCTGTAATGTGGCATCGGGCAGTGGAAAGGAGCTCACATCATCTTTGTGCTGCTGTTTTGCACAGAGAATCGCGAAGTTCCATCACTGATACTCAGAGTTACCTTGTTTTTGTCCCTGTTGGAGCCTGTTGGTCGAACGCCGGCGCTAGCTTTCTATCTCAGGCATGGCCGAGCCTTGGAGCATGCCTCCAAAGCACTTCGGGGCAACCGCCAGGCCGTGGGGCCGGAGGAAGGGAACAAGGCTCCTTGCTGTTGCTCTCCCTTCTCCACGACGCAGTGCAATTTTGTGTGAAAGTGTTACAGTATGTACGCGTGCGCATCTGCATGCATGCATGCATGTGTATGCATGCATGCATGCATGCATGTATGTACGTATGTATGTATGCATGCACGTAGCATTTAGGAACCTTTTCGTGGTATACGGTATGCCTGCGTACGCAGTAGCGCATGCGCATTGATGGCATAGCAACATATCCACGCCGTGTTCCTCGACTTCGGCAGCACGCCCTGCAAGTAGGATGCATGGCATGGGCGTTTTGGGATGGAGTGGAGATGCTGTGGAAGTCTAGTGCAGGCCAAAGGCTGAGGGAATGAGAACCCCAAAGATTCCCAAGGCCTTAAATATGGAAAAAACACCGTACTTGTCCCGCTTATACCGATACCTGGAAGTATCCCAGATAGCACCCCCTACAGTAACCCTCATAGTAGGCCGTAGTCTCAGTTCTAGCTAGGATCTTCTGGGGGAGATCAAGGGCCAATGCAGAGCAAGACCTGCCGCAGGTGGCGATCGCGGCTGTGAGGCGCCGATAAATCTAAGCTCGTGGATCTGATGTGTATGTATTGGCTACTTGGGTTCAGGTGTGTTGAAGCACAGACGGCGGCTGTCGGAGTCCAAAGCAAACTGCCCAAACAGTCAAACCACGGAAGCCTGATAATGTTTGCTTTGTGCCTTTGTGCCACGAAAGTGAAGGCAAGACGGCGAAGCCTTGCAGTTCGCTTCTGAGTCGCTTCGCGGAGACGAGGCCGGCTGTGGCAAAGGCGCGCTTCCATGGTCGCTCTGCTCGGAGTTGCCGCCAGGAAGTGACCTTGGCCGCTTTGGAGCAGAACTGGAGGTGCTCCCTTCACGGATTGCTTTGCCGTGTTGTTGATCGCAGCAGACACGGAGGATGTCAAACTCAACCCGTGTTCGTACACACATCAACAAACACACCCGGCTAAGGGAGCCACGACGGTGGGCCTGATGCTGCAACTGTTTTATTCAACGGATCTGCGACACGAACCCATTCGCATCCATGCGCATCTCGCATAAGGCCTTGAAGATCTGGTCTTCTGAGTTCCCACTAGTTGTGCAAAGCTGAACGCGGGCAAGGGCAGGGCTGCATGCAGAGTTCGGGAAGTTTCCACACCTAATGGCAATTAAAGCGAGACTGCATCTGATTTGGCCCAATTTAACCAACATAGCGCAGCACTTGACAGTTTTGGAATCTACCATATTTTCATCGCAAGAATGAGAATAGGACTGGCATTGTCTACCAGCCGCAGTAACAACAGTAGTCGCCGTCGGCCTTCGTTGTCGTTGTCGTCGTTGTAAGTCCTTCGTGCCGAACTTTGGGCTTCTTGGTGGTGGCACTTGCACTAGTCGTAGTCGTAGTAGTAGTCGTCGTCGTAGTAGTAGTAGTAGTTGTTGTTGTGCTAGGGGTAGTAGTGCTGCTGCTCCCGTTGAACTAGCAGAGAGGCAGGAAGCCAACCTTGTGTTACCGTCCAGACTTGCGAGGGGTGATGCCTTCCTAATGTGTAGGCCCGAGACTCTTCGGCAGCTTCGGGCTGTGCAGTTCAAGCGTCTAGAAGAAAAATAAGCCCGACTTCCACTGGAATGCTTGCAGGGCACATCGCTATGTTGCGCCCGGGCTTTGGCTGAATAGCGACTTTTGCCACCGGGCTGTGCAGAGGAGCGAAGTTATGCGCTGGTTTCGCAGCCTGTGGACACTCGCTTCGCGACTACTTGCACGTGATTTTCGACCGATCTAGAACTGGAAATGATTATGCCCAACTGACTGCTGCTGTAGTTGCCGGTTTCAGATACCAGCAGGGCGCCCGAAGTCCCCTTGCACGTTCCACCAGCAGCTGTTGCAGGAGCTGGCGCATCTTAAGCATCCTGCCACCAGAGCAGAGGCTTCGCCCTCGGAGTTTGAAGGGCTTACGCATTCGTCTTGGTGCAGGTCTGATATTCTGGTGAGTTCCCATAAACTATGCAATTTCGAACAAAGTGAAGCTCCGCATCTGACCGTCAAACCAAAGCCCGAACGAGCGCGAAGTTCTGTCAATGCAGCGAGAGTCGAAATGGTTTCTGGCGCTTGCGGTACTTGTCATGCCCGACGTCACCACGAAAGCTGAGTTCACCTCACTCTTGAGGTCCAAGAGGGGACTGGTTGAATGCGCTATCCGACAGAACGGCTGCTTGGAGGCACTTGCTCATCAACACCTCCTAGTCAGGTTTCTCACGTCAAGGTGCACCCCGTCAAGTTCGGGGCTGGCGGTCGCAGGAGTTCTGATTCTGGCGCACCGGGATTGCAGTAAGATGTGACTTGCATCCGAATCAAAAGAATTGGAAGGCAGTAATTATATTATCCAGAAGCAGAGCTCGAAACCAGACAGCAAAAGCAGTTGCGGTCGCTAACTAACGCGTTCACACTTTCTCAGCGGGATGAATGTATCACGGCAATCACTGCATGAAATATCGCGTGACGACAAGAGACTGACTACGATCTCTGGCAAAGTTCGACATCAGCATGACTTCGAGCTCAGCATAACTGGTATCGTGCGGTATCCTCATGTTCTTCAAAAACCCCGTCTCGGGCGAGGCTATCTGAGTGTGCACAAGATGCAGACCCACTCTGTTGGCCTCGAGGCCTTGAGATAAGGTCAGATTGAAATTGTGCCTGAGGCCGTGCGTTGGAGTTTGCCTCCGCAGAGCTACGGATGGACCGTGATGTTGAAGCTTGGACCGCAGACAAGCAGCATTCGGGCTTTGCGCTCACGTGTCCGTTTGATGTGTGCCTGAAGCACCACCCCACGAGCAAGAGCCCAGTTTCACCGGGCACTAGCCTAGACAACGACTCCCCGATCGCGACATGCATGCGGAGTGGGTCTCTTGTATCTGACTCTTGTATACCGCTATGGATTAATGCGCATTGGTTGGCGTTGTGTTTGCAATGGACCCGTGAAAGACCAATTGAGATTTGGTCCACTGCCCGTCGAGGTTCTCCTAGCGGTGCGTCAGGCTTGGCAGGCCGGTGCTTCTGGTGTCTTTTGGTGAGTTGCGAAGGATTTATACGGCTTGCCCACGGACGAAACAGTTTTGGCTTTGCCCCCAGACCTGAACTCCAAAGCCTGCCTACACTCAACGTTTCAGCCGAGAACACCCATGACTCGTGCCCTGCAAAGGGTGAGCAGCTCTCAGTCTTATTTACTGTCAATCACTGGGTGTGCTGCTGATGATGATGATGCTGACGACCACCGTGGCGTTGTTCGACTTTGCGGGCTTGGATTGTTTTGTTAAGCCGTCACAAACTAACTACTGTGAATCATTGTCGTGAACATGATGATGATCTAATGGATTATCGATGCCGATCCAGAAACCTCCAGTGTTGAGGCAGCTTCCTTCGCGCTTGACCCTGCCCGACGAGACCTCACGGCGCCGTCCGGGAGAGTTCCGGGGGTCGCTTGCACTGGTACTTTGAACCAACTTCACGGCTGCTGGCAGACCGCGATCCAGGAAATTCAGCCCTTCCCTGCACCGCACAGTAGCCGTAGCGAAATGGCCACTGCAACGGCCACACCAACGATAGCAGTACCGTCCGGCGCGCGAAAATGGCAAACTTATTTGAGTTGTACAAGATGACGATATTTGGCGATGTTCTCTCCGGTTGCTCAATCACAGGCAGTCATGACTCATGACTGATTTGGATGAGGTACGCAATCATCGGTGCAGCGGCACAGCATCGGCGTCACATGCCAGTGTTAGTAGGATGGACGACAGCCGCAAGCTCCACAATGTTCATGGTACACTTTCAGCACGCAATCCAAAAAACCGGCTTCGGGCCTAGAGTCGAAACGGTGATCCTGGGCTGCTCCGGAGGTGCTGCTCGCTGCCGGTCGTTTGCCCCGGTCGCGCTCGAGGCACTTTCAAGCCCAGGGTTGCATGCCTGATGCCTTCAGTGAGGTTTGCGATTTCGACGACCCGGCATGTAGAGAGAAAGAAGTTGGACGCAGATCGGGAAACAAAGCTTGCGGTGTGGCTTTGCTCGTAGGTACCAGTGCTGTAGCAGGAAGGTCGAATCGCAAACGCGCTCTTCAAGCTAGGTCGCCGAAGCCTGGCAGTCGAAGAAGTACAAGATGCTCCTGACTCTGCTTCTAGTTGGTTCTTTCTGCGGCCTGTTTGAGTGAGTCGGCGCTTGCGGCTGCCAACATAGGGTCATCGGTCATCTTTCTGGAGGTACTTCCGCATGTCAGATGGGTCGGTCTTCTCGTCTCACTTCGGGTGCTGTCCAGAGCTGCAGTTGCTTTCAGTGCGCTCATGACTTCGCAAGGCAGCCAGACGAAAAGATGC